ATTCGTCCCGTTGCGTTTTATTTTTTTATTTATATTTAATGTACTACGTGTAAAAGATTCGATGTGACGAGGAATCTTAAAAAAATTTACAAAATTTTTGTAACTAAACTCCCACCTACTCGGTTCGAGATCAATAGATCGTCCAGCGTAGTACTCCAAATACGTCCAGCGGTCCAAACGGCGAGAGGCAGCTATGATTCGTCAATCATCACGGCAAGTCCAGCGAGGGGCAGTCAGACAACAACACGCTCTCGGTCAAATATTAATGCGACTGTGCGTTCGTGGAGCTAACAGTGGAACTTTGATGGCCTTGAAGAACGAAGATTTGTAGCGCCACGCGCGCTGTGTAGGAGGAGCACCGATCACTGTGCCGTCGGTGCTTCAACACGTCCGAGCTTTCTGGTCTTCCGGCAATTGAAAATAAAACAGTAAACGTGACGCGCGCGGCGTGGTTTTTCTTTTTTTTCTACACGAGCAGGCCGGCCGGCCGCCGGCGGCATCCGGCAGCGGGGTAGGTGTTGCTGGCTCCTCGTACTTAAAACGGCATGGCCTACCAGCCGGCACCTCGACCATCGGTGGTGTTTAAATTCAAGTAAGTAAAGTTTAGAATATTATATCGGATGTTATAGTAGAAGTGTTTGATATAATAATAAAAAAATTATAAAAGTCATCATTAATCCGCGAGATGAATTTATTAAGCCTAACTAACTCGTCATTAGCACGTATCTACTATAACACTATATTGTTAAATTATGAACTAATTAAGCTTAAAATTTTATCTCACTAAATTAGTCGTAATCTGTATAATTAGTTATTTTTAGTCTATATTTAATACTCCATACATATGTCAAACATTTGATGTGATATGCATAGCCTGTTTCTTTGGTTGGTTTACGGGTGATAAGCTCTGGTTGATCTTGATTTGTTATAAGAGAAATCATCTCGATAAAGCGCATTACTAATAAATAACATGTTGGTTTAGAGAAAGTCCTATTAATCTTGAAACAAACACAGTACTGATAAGTTCGATTTAAAACCAACCAACAAACATACTAAACTTTAGGGACCGTGACCGAGCTGAGAGAACCGAGGAGCAAGAGGTCCCCACGCGACCACGTCACGGATTCACACTGTGTCCTTGTAACGGTGGCCGGCCATGGTGACCAACTGACCATGGGTCGAGGCGGCGAGCAGGGTACGATGCTGCTGTGCTGAGCGCAAAAGCATTTGCTGAATTTATTACCGCGCCATGAGCGCAGGAGGGGCATGTTCCTTTCTCACGCAAGGAGCATGCGTGCTCTGCATTATCCACAACGGTCAGCTGTACCTGTACTTGGTGTCTTAATGCCTTAATGGTCAACTAGTGACAGTGTGATAGATGGAGTCACCTGATGGAGACACCTGAGATGAGGGTTGAGAATCGGTATTCGACAGGACGGAAATTATGGTCTAACTAGACTGTTTTGCTCTGGTTCACGTTTACGGTCAGAGAAGTGAAAAAATTTGAAATCTAAACAAGGTCAAAGTGTTTTTGCTCTGGTTCACGTACGGTCAGAGAACGTGGCTTAGCAGTCAACACACTGACACACAGTGTGTACGTACTAGTACTAGTAGTTTGTCAGATGTGGAGTCACATTAGTCAACTCGGGCGTCAAAATATTATCCCGCGGCGAGCCGAGAGCCGTAGTAGACCTACTTCTACAGGGTCAATTCCATGCGATTTCTATTCAGAACACCGGTTTTCCTTTTCGCAAGAAAAGATTTTATGTATCTTTTTGCAATATTTTCTTAACAGACTTGATCTGATGCAGCAGCTATATAAATTAGCAATGTGCACGTATCATAAGACCAACTTCAACAAATTAGCTCAAAATAGATGCAAAAAATCCATGATTGGCGACATTATGAGGAAATGACTCGCAGGGCACGGGGCGAAGACCCGCCTCCGGGCGGGCTCCCCAGCGCCGCGGCCGTCGCTGGCGCCGCCCGACGCTCCCTTGCCCGGCTCCCTTTCCTCCTCCCCTCCCCCATCCCCTCCTCCCCCCACGCGACCCTCCTTCACTCAGCCATGCGCGGGACGCTTCGCCTCCCCGTCGATGGCGCCACCGGCGGCGGCTGGCAGCCATGCCCATAGCGATTTTGCTAAAAAAAAAATGCTAGCAGCCTAGCACGGTGAAGGACTTTAGATGGGCTAGAGGCCCTTCTACCGGATACTATCATACGAGACTGCTGAGGCCTTTAGATGGGCTTGATGGGCTAGAGGCTTTCAGCATGACAAATAGCCTTTATAGGGATAGGCCTGATCAAAACAGCGGCCTGCATGGTCCCGCTCTGAGCTTTAATGTTCAAGTAGTCGTTTCCGCAATTTCGCGTGCCACAAAATATATTACCAAGCTTGTGGAGTTTTCCCGTTAAAAAAATATCTGGCAAATGGTAACTGTATGGTCTTTATATATATATTAGATACTCAACATGTGTTACGCCTAGTAGTTTAAGGTCTATGAGTTTTAACAATTTATGGATAAAGACGAGACCCACAACAACAAAAAAAAAATGTTTATCTTTGTTCTTTCCCATTTGTTTAAATTCCAATGCAATATTTGTATAAATACTCTTTTATCTTAACTAGTAGTTGTGATAGCTTTTAGTTACAAATTGTCTATATTCTTTTGCATTTCTACTCATAGTTTTTTCTCTTTGCATTGTGCGTGTCTCCTCCATCTATGTTACTTCATACATATATGTCATTAGGAAATTGGTTACGTAACACTCAAAAGATCGTGGGATTAAAAAAAACAATGAAAAAGTTCACTTGCGTAAAAAGATCACTGGAAGATGGAAACCTTAACCGGAAGTAGCATTCCGTTTTAATTTGTTCACTGGAAACATATTTTTCATGTCTTTGATAAATATAGTTGGACATGAAATTACATTTATACCCTTGGGTTAACTAAACAAATAAAGCACATCTTCTGGCCAGCCTTGTCCCCTCACATTGCTCCACAACTACAGTACCATCACCCGCCACCACCCTCAGGCACCCTCATCTTCAGGGGCCTAGAGAGGCGAGCGAGGAGGGGTTTCAAGCCGCCCCTCTGCTTAGGTTAGAGAGACATGAATGGTTCACGAGATGGAAAGAGAAAATAAGAACACACTTTGTAGTAGCAAAGAAAATTTGGTAAATGATTTCAGGAATCCTTGAGATAGAGTCTGTCAACCACCTTTTCTTTAGGTGTGTATTAGCAAAGCAACTTTAGGAAACGATTTCAATAATCTTTGATAGACGTTGTGGAGTTGATCTCTTAGACGTTGGCCGGATGTGGCTAGGTGATACAAAATTTGTAGTTGCTAATATTTTCTCCACGTGCTAGATACAGTTAAGGAATAGCTTGTGTTTTCAGGAGACTACTTGGAAGGATATGAAATCCCTAGTTCTGAAGATAGTGCTGCTGATCAGTTGGTTGGTGCTTTGTCCACCAGACCACCACCTCGAGTTCAAACTCCAAACTTGTCGACCTGAAAGGAATTGCATCAAGACCAGCAAGACTGACATGCTGATTCTAAATGACAAAGAGAGGTTCTTCTTATTCTTGAACGCAACAAATTGGAAGGACAATTACATGTCGGCCAAAGATAATGGGCTTGTTTCACCGGTGAAGCCAAAACCCGGTTTTTCCGCTTTTTTTTTTTTTCAACTCCGAATTATAAAACGGCTTTTCTCTGATTCCTCGATTTACATGAAATAGATGAAGCCGAAGCCGGCATAAGCCATGCCAAAGAGGCCCTACATGTCGGCCAAAGATAATGTGAGTAAGGCTCGATTATTGTGGTTCTTTTTTTTTTACTATTATTAGATTTAAACCGTCATTGCTTTGTTGTTCTTCTTAACAAGAGATATGCTTCATCAGGACGTTGTAATAACGTTTGTCTTTAAATGCAAAGGCTTTGCCCTACAATTCTTGAAAAAGAGAGAAAGCAACCTTTTCTGCAGTAGCAACCACAAAGAGACGACATATCAAGCTCCGACCTGGCAATCTCCAACCTCTCCTGTCACATAATCCTCCCTTTAGAAAAGGGATTTTTTACCGTTTTCTGTATTTTTTTAAAATAAATTGATTCCTATAGAATTCTAGTATCATTCCTGTAAAATTACTACGTTGCAAAGGGATTATAAATATTTTTGAGGTATCTAGAAAGTCCATTTGTAATAATGATTTAGAGTCCGATCAATCGAGGTGTTCAGCTAATCTAGCACGCTGCATGCACAAGATAGCTACAATCCAGTAGCACGTGGAGACGGATATGGTCCAAAGTGGTACGTGGAGACGGATGGGTGGTAGTGGTTAAACTCAACGCCAAAAATTAACATGTTTTGTCTGAGCCTAATACTGTCAAGCCATAGTTTGCAGAGCTCGTGCTTAATTGAGTGGCATGGGTCACTCGTTTTTGTTACGAGCTCTTTCACGCTTATGACTAATATAATTTTTGTCGCACTTATGGCAAGCTACATTTTGTGAAAATTAGTCATGGCCTAACCAAACGTGCCGAAAATTTTAACTATTTCTCCTTAGCACAACCCAACAAGGTTTTGCTTGGATGTTATCGGATTCTTTTTAATCCACATGTGTTGAGATGGATTAAGATAAAATTTAGTTCAAATCCACTACCATCCACCCAACATATGTGCAATTCACCACAACACACGTGGATTAATACAAATTTGATTACATCCAAACAAAGCCTAAGTAAATTAAGAAAAGATCTGTCTGGAGATGTGGTTGTTTAATTTGATACCAATTGTCCAATTTTTTGGATGATATAAACAGTAGAACCAGGATCCCGGTTTTCAGTCACCTCTGGTATCTGGAAGTCTGGAACAGAAATTTTCGTCCACGCTCTGACATCCCGCGAAAAGCACCGATATCCAACACGCAAAGGGGGGAAAAACTCGGAAATCTGATCCGATCGAGCTCGAACACTCGCCACCGTTTCCCACTCCCATGGGGCTCCTCAGCTCCCTGCCGCCCCACCGCCGGGGCGCCTTATCGGGCGGCGGATGGCAGTGGTCGTTCCTCGACGTCGTCTGGGGGGTCTTCCTCATCGCCGTGGTCGTCTTCCTCGCGCTCGTCTTCACGCTGCGCCGCGGGGACCCCGTCCTAACCGCCGCCTCCGTCGCCCGCGCCGGCGGCAGCGGCGGCACGGTGCCGCCGTGCGCCGCCTCGGAGGTGGACCTCCTCCCCTGCGAGGACCCGCGACGCAGCTCCCGCCTCAGCCGCGAGATGAACTACTACCGCGAGCGCCACTGCCCGACTCGTGGCGAGGCGCTCGCGTGCCTTGTGCCGCCGCCCCGAGGCTACCGCGTTCCCGTGCCCTGGCCCGAGAGCCTCCACAAGGTGCATGTTGTCGGCATTGGCCTTTGACACTCAGAACTTATCGCTGGTTAATTACGTCACTCTTTGGAGGCTCGGATGCTAGCATAGAACTTGGTTTGATCTGAGGCATCTGCCGCTAGATGTCGATTTAGATTTGAGTTATGTGCATTGTAGAGCCTGATTCGTTCAGCGAAGCTTAGACTGGCTTGGTTTTGTAGTTGTAGCTTCGTGCTAGTGTATGATTGACTTCTGCATCTAGCTGCCAGTAGTCAACACTCATGGTTTTCTGATTCTATACATGTCAGAAATGGACTTCCTGGCATGCACTTATGAATTGTGTTTTCTGGATTATTTTTGTTTATTTTTTAGGGTAGGATGTAGGAGGTGAAATACGTGCTCTCAGTTGTGGTGACAGTTTGTAGGAAAGCAAGTGATCAGACATTCGTCTTAGTGTACATGATAGCCTTTTTTTTGAAACAATGTGTACATGATAGCCTAGGTATCAGAATGTTTGGTATTGCGATGGTAATATGACCTTACACAGGGGGCACATAATCACTTAGGTAATTTCAATTCTGTCAATTAGTGGGTGTTTTTGTTTCATGTGTTTATCCTAGGATGCAGATTAAATTTTCATCTGTTCGATTGATATTTATTGACCATGGTTATTGCTCACCTTTCAGATCTGGCATGATAACATGCCTTATGGTAAGATTGCTGAAAGAAAAGGTCATCAAGGGTGGATGAAGCATGAAGGTTCGTACTTCATTTTCCTGGTGGTGGGACTATGTTCCCTGACGGAGCTGAACAATATATTGAAAAGCTTAGCCAGTATGTTCCACTGAAAACTGGTGTCGTCAGGACAGGTCTTGATATGGGATGCGGGGTAATATGTTAATCTAAACTTGGGAAGGCTCTCGGTTTACTTTTAAGGAAATTCGGGCATAATGATCTTTTCCTCTCTGAAGGTTGCCAGCTTAGGTGGATTTTTGCTTAAGGAGAATATCATGACACTTTCATTTGCACCAAGAGATTCGCATAAGTCTCAAATACAATTTGCCTTGGAGAGAGGAATTCCAGCATTTCTTTTGATGTTGGGCACACGCCGTCTTCCTTTTCCAGCACAGTCCTTTGATTTTGTCCATTGTTCCCGGTGTTTGATACCTTTTACTGCCTATAGTAAGTAATTTCCTTCTGCATTCCATAAGCTGCATGGACATGTACACACACTTTTCTACCAGCCTCTTACTTGTAGACATTGGCAGATGGATCTTACTTGATTGAAGCTGACCGTCTACTTAGGCCTGGGGGCAATCTAATCATATCGGGGCCCCCTGTGAGATGGAAGAATCAAGAGAAGGAATGGGATGAACTTCAAGCAATGGCAGGAGCTTTGTGTTACAAATTGATCACTGTAGATGGTAATACTGCCATTTGGAAGAAACCTGCTGAGGCTTCATGTCTTCCTAACCAAAATGGATTTGGCCTTGATCTCTGTAGCACCAATGATGATCCAGATGAAGCATGGTAATTCTTTTTTTGTTGTGCCTATGAACTATATTTACACCTTGAAGGTGCCAGAAAGTCCGTTGTATACATGTCAAGAGTTTTGATGCAGGTACTTCAAGTTGAATAAATGTGTCAGTAAAGTTTCCGTGTCGGAAGAGATAAATATAGGTTCCGTTCCCAGGTGGCCAGATAGGCTGTCTAAACCTTCTGCTAGGGCATCAGTTATCAACAATGGAGCAAGCTTGTTTCAAGCAGATAGTCAGAAGTGGGTTAGGAGAGTGTCATATTATAAAAAATCACTTGGCATGAAGCTTGGGAGCACACACATACGCAATGTCATGGACATGAATGCATTCTTTGGAGGATTCGCAGCCGCTATAGTGTCTGATCCTGTATGGGTTATGAATGTTGTTCCTGCTCAGAAGCCATTGACACTTGGAGTTATTTATGATAGGGGCCTTATTGGGGTTTATCATGACTGGTACGAATCTAATTCACTACCAATGCCAATGCCACATTTAACTATAATTTTAACTTTTCTGCATTTTGTTGGACTTCATCCTGTTGATAATTTTATATACAATGTCGTTATTGTGTAGCTCCTTTTAACTCTTATGCAATGTATCCTGAATTTACTTGTGTATCTGATAAAATTGCATTGATCAACCAATCAAGTGTAATGCTAGGAAAACACTCAGTTTGTTGCAGCACTAAACGTAAACTGTATTTTTTAAAGTAGTATAGGATATTTGGCTCTTTAGACCAGAGAGACACTATGTAGCTTTTGCCCCTGTACTTTCTACAAGCTCTGGTTGTTTCACAATTGATCATATTTAAATTCTTTGATCAACTATAAAATGCTCCAGAAAAATGGACTTCTCGTCATTTTAGGTTTGTAGATTGAAGAAATATTCATGTAGTAGACCTATAGTTATGGTCCCAAATTGTACTGATTATATGTTTTTGTTCTCAGGTGTGAACCATTCTCAACATATCCTCGTACTTACGATCTCATTCATGCTGCTGCAATTGACTCCTTGATAAGTGACCCGATTTCAGGCACCAGCAGGTACACCAGCTGACCAGCCATATACCTGGAGTTATTTTCCCATGTTCTAGTATCCTCATATTGTTCACGTTTCCTTTATTTCCCCTTTTATTAGTGTGATATGAGAAAACCTTATCTCATACTCCATCTCCATTAAGATGTTTGGCATAAATACTTTATTGTTAAATTTTGCAATTTGTTTCACTTGATCGGTAACTGCAGAAATCCATGATAATTTATAAAAAAATCATCATCATCGAAACTTGTCTTCCTGTCTTTGCTTTACACTAGTGAGATAACAATCAAACTTCACTTGGGAAAGTGAGCTATTCCTGAAATCTGTATGTATTTCTAGGTTACTATATTATAGTGAGCGGTTCCTGCTATACCTAGGTTATTATCTTGAAGTTGAAGACATGTCCACAATAAACTATTGGTGCATACGTTAATTTCTACTGCTCAATCAGTCAAAAAGGCCTTTGATATGTGAATCTCTCCCCAAACATAAAGTAGCACAGTAACAACTTTGTGCTTGTTACATACCTTAAGACTTGTTTTCTGTTTAATTTTGAATTTGTAGGATCTTGTATTTGTTTCCAATGGTTTCTGCAGCATGTGCTCCAGCTGCCAAAGTTTAGGTCCAGACAGTTCTATCATTTATTTGTTTCAATGATCAGTGCAATATGTGTTCTACAGAAGCTTGAGTTTGGGTTGCCAGCCTAAACGTGATTTAACTTGAATTACTTCCTCCCATAAGAATATAAGTCCATCTAGGTTAGGTTTGCCCTGAGACAACACAAGATTGGTATTACTAGTTTCATTAGAAAAAAATCTTTCATAATACATAATTGCTCCATTTAATAACAATATATATTTTGTTAGTCAAAGTACCATATTGTAAACCGCATCGATGTCCTAATGGACTTATATTTCCAATTGGAGGAAATATTTTCCAGGAAAGAAGTATCTGGTTAGAGTTGACTTAGGTGAACAATTAAAACACAGGAAACTGAAGTGCTTTGCGAGTTGTTGCTGTACTATTGTATTGACCTTTAGCATTCTTAATACAATTAACGTCTGTCTTGTTAGAATTCAAGTAAATAGATTAGCCAAGATGGTTATCATAGTTTTACTTTTACATGACTAACCTTACACATGGTTTTGTATGACTTTCTTTTCAGGTGTGACCTGTTTGATGTAATGTTGGAGATGGACCGCATACTGCGCCCAGAAGGAACTGCTGTTATACGGGCCTCCCCAGATGTCGTAGACAAGGCAGCACAGATTGCTCGGTCGATTCGGTGGAAGGCTCAGGTGCATGACAGTGAGCCAGAATCAGGTAGTACCGAGAAAATACTTGTGGCTACGAAAACATTTTGGAAGCTGCCACTAACATCACAATAGGCTAATGCTATATAGTTTGAACTTTGAACCCTTTTCACTTGCGCTCCCTTAATTTTGTGCTTTTTGGGGGTGGGCTGAAGGGATATAGCAGGCTAATGGGATTGCTGAAATAGTTTAGTCAAGGTGGTCATTCTTTTCTTCATTTCTTTATAGCGAAAAATTTGGTGTGGTGTAATTCTCGTTGTGGCTCCTTGATTCTGATTGATGTTGTTATACCCTATGAATTTAAGTGATCTGGTTTATTCCGTGGGTGGTTACAACACCCAATGATGAAGAGACCAACCGATGTAGCTGTACAAATAAGAGATTGTTTCAATTTTCTAAAAAAAGAGATATTGTTTTGATTCTGTTACGATTTGCGCCAACTGTGTCCGTTTCATGGGCTTATAAAGAAAACCTGACCCATTCAGCAACGTGAAAGAAGTGGTTCAGCACCAAACAGATGTCATCTATTATTAGTCTGAGCGTCGCAAATTGGACAGGAACAGTACATAGTAGAACAAATCAATGAATAAACCCATAAAACAGAACATAGGCAGAGTGGTTTTCAGAGTTTTTAACATACACAAGAAAATTTACTGATCAGCTCCTCATTTGCAACCAATGGGGACATGGGAACTTCTATACAATATAGACTTTAAAAATCAAACTTGAAAGCAATATATTGACAATGTCGCACTTCCAGCTTGACGTTACTAATCTCCGATCAGTTCAATTGTCACACTTCCAGCTTGACGTCGGCACGCAGGTGAGGTAGTGGCACCAGCCGCAGTGATCGTTGCCGTTCTCTCCTCTGAACACCATGACTAATCCAACAGCAAACCTGCGGCAAGGCATAACCAAATGTTAGGCTCCGATTGGATTTGGACATTTTCAATGAAAATTTTAGTTTGTAGGACCAGGGATTATGCTTACCCTGCAGCCAGCAAGATCAGGGCAGCGAACAGGAGGATGATCTGATATGCCTTGTACTTGGACTTGGTCTTGGCACCGAAGGGCTGCTCCAGCCACCCGAACTGGGGCTGGATCAGCAGCACGAAGCCGAGGAGGAATCCTGTGGCGAAACCGCCGATGTGCGCGAAGTTGTCGACGTGCGGGAGTATCCCGAGCGCCAGGTTGATGGCGGCGATGATGATCAGGTTCAACATGGCTGCAAACTGAGATGAATTCGGCGGATTAAGGCCAGAAGTCAGCACGGCGGCGAGGCGATGCTCTAGAGCTTAAACGAATAGGAATGACCGAAACGGGAGAGATGCCTACTCTGTTGGTGTAGATGGACCAGTTGGTGATGAGGTCCGACAGAATCGCTCCCAGGAGGCCGAAGAGCGCGCCGGAGGCGCCCACGGAGACGCCCTTCCTGATGAAGAGGACGGAGAGCACGCTCCCGCCGAAGCCGGAGACGAGGTACACCAGCCCCACCTTCCCTGCAGGAGGACGGACGGCGACAAATGCCGGTCAGAAAACCGCGTCCGTGTGCGTTGCAGCGGAGGAGCCCTGTCTGTCTGTTCTTGGCAGAGCGAGCGAGCGAGGCGTCAGGTGTTTGGGGGCTTACAGAATCCAAACTGCTGCTCCAGGCGGACGCCGATGAAGATGAGGCTGATCATGTTGGCGAGCAGGTGGATGAGGCCGGCGTGCAGCCAGGTGCAGGACTCCAGCCGCCATGCCTGGTTCCCGTGCACGACCTTGTACCAGTCGAGGGCTCCGTATTTCTGCAGCCTGCGGCGAGACGACGAGATTAGAGACCAGATGAGACGAGACTCACAGAGGCGAGACCAATAGCTCGATAACGAGATAGATTCACGCGGCGGGAGGTGGTGCTTCTTACGTGGCGGCCGTGGGGCCGAGGAGCGGGTTCTCCTTGAGCGGCTGGAAGGAGAAGCGGCGGAGGAAGCCGCGGCCGACGCAGTCGCCGCCGCTGCGCGGGCAGTTGTTGTAGAACATGACGACCACGAACATGGCCACGTTGGCGATCACCACCAGCGGCACCAGCCACGACCAGTGGTGCCGCTCGTGCGCCGCCGCGTGGTCGTAGTCGAATGGCGACGGCGGCACGTACGGCGCGTTGCTGGCCATGCTGTACCGCCCCGGCGGCTGGCTTGATCCCCGTCGTCGCCGGCGCCGGCGCCGCCCTCGCCGGGGCGCCCGCCTCCACGTCGGCGTTCGACATCGCTTGACCACCACCGGCAACAGCACCAACGGACGCGCTTCCGGACTGCCTGGTCTCCTCACGGAGTCGGTGCAAATGGTTTGTTCGGCTCTTGGGGTGGAGATGGAGGAGGGAAGGTGGACGCGGAGATGACCAGAGACTCGGTTTTAATCGGTCGGCTTTAGCGTGTTTCTTGTTGGTCTCTTCTTTGAAAAAAAAACTTTATACTGGTATTTCAAACCATCAAACAATAACCGAGTTGTTTTAGGTCGCTAGATTTTTACCGCCACTGAAACTGTAGCCAAAGTTTCAGAAATGAAACTGAGAAAGCATCTCATCAACACACTAATTTCAGATTTCATCTTTCCTCTTTCCAACTATTCTTTAGAGGTTTATTTTTGGGGGAATTGGTTATATCAATTATTACCAATCATGGTTGTTGGAAAAGACAAGGAGTTTGGGGGACGTTTTCTGAGGAGCTTTGTACAGGTTCAAGGAGTTTAGAATTGAGCTGATGATGCGATTAGAGGTTGACCTGTCGGCTCTGTTTGATGGCACCGTACTATTTTCTTTTACCCGTCTATAAACTTGAGCTTAAACAAAGGGCAAAGTACTCTTGACATACAGGTCAACTGTAACCGGAAGCTTGCCAATTGCTTCCTACAGATCTCCAGAAGCACAGATCATGCTATAGCCTTCAATATGCCCTGGCCGTACTTGATCTTTTCCATAGCTTGGAATCTTGGATAAACTAGCTTTAAGGTTCAAAATAATAATAACTCCATGCTTAGCTACTTATGTGCGGTGCAGGGAAGTTTTCGCCCACCCTATGCGCGCCCTATTTTTGCTCGGATGCTTCCGTGGCACAGCTATTACTTCTTGGCCTGGTTTGGTGTAAGAGAAAATACCGTTTACAAAATTTACGATCGTTACGGTTTGAAAGCTCTTGTTGACGGCGAACGCGACATGAAAGGGCGCGTCGGCTCAACATTGCCATTTCAACGAACCATCCCACGCGTTTCTGCAAAAGCACTCCAATGTCGTGCCTGTGGAGTCTCATTTAGCCGTCCGTCTTTTCCCTTGGTTTCTGGCGCGGCCAAGCTTTCGAAACCGCACCCATCCGCTGTTCATACCTGATGGCTGATGCACGCCCCCTCCAACTTGGCCCATCTCCATCCGTGTCATTCCTCCTCCTAGCTACTAGTATACCCTAGCTCAAGCAAGAAACAGCCTGCGCCTTATCGTTATTTCGAAAGACGGTAGTAGCAACCATCTTCGTCTCAAAGGCTCCTTTGGCTCCCTTGCTTTTTCGTAATGGGATCCCACTCATCGCCTCGTAAATAAACAATGACAAATGTCCGAGTATTTGCGCTCGATCTGTACCCAGTTCTAGGCAGGCCAGGGAATGTAAGCTGGGGGCGTGGGTTGATAATCCGTCAAACGCCGAACTGGAGCTGGGGGCGTTTGATTTGATCGCCCTCGAGTTCCATGGAAAGCATGCGTGGACTGATCCACAAAGATGTCACGCTCTACTGCTCTAGTCTAGCATATGATATTCCTTTACGCTCGTGTCGCCAAATGGTGCGGCGGCTTCGTTGGCTTCGGCAGCTAGCGTCGGAACACCAACGGCGACGCTGACAGCTTCCTCGCTCCGAGACGACCGGAAACCAACGGCGACGGCAACACTAGTACATACGGAACGTGGTGGCCGCACGCTCCAGCAGCACCAGCGTTTCAGGTCGAGCCGGCCGGTTTCACACGGCTGGCTACGGAACGAGCACACCCTTCCGTCGCGTTGCTGCTACGCCTGCGGGCGAATCGATCGACCGTCACGGCCAGCTCGTTCCGCTGTTGTGCTCGTATAATGTACCGTACTCCGTACTAGGACTACTACCACAGTACCACTGCTGGTAGTATCCTCTAACCGCTGTTCGTTGTACGTGATGCCCGTAAAGGCCGTAACCGATTAGTCGCGGCATCACGCGCAGGCGCAGGGGTCCGAAGGCAGGAGCTTCACATCTGCCGCGGTTTGGTACGGCCAATCGCCTGCCCGAACCGGGGCCAATCAAGCTAACTGAAGAGAGAATAAAGAACGATGCCCAAAGTCAGCTGCTCAGCTGTGTCGGTAGACTGCGTCCAACGCACTCTTCATAGCCGTTGGAAAGGTCTCGTCCAGCGGCCGCGAAGGCGTAAGGCCACCTCCTAGGTCGCACCGCTACGTCGGTATTGGTGGTTTCCTTTATGTAATATCGAATCAAGAGGTATGTTGCTAGGATGATCCAGCTACGGTTATGTTAGGTCGATCTACTTCAGCGCTCGATAGAAGTGCGTTGTATGTTTGTTTAAACTCTTCTACTTAATATAATGGTACGTAAATCTTTTGTGTATTCGAGAAAAAAAAACTGTGTCGGCCTTTGTCAATTACTAATGCTCCAGCGCCAGTAGCATCGCTAGCAGATCATCCTGGCAACCACTAGCGAGGTACATTGTCGCGGTCCGCCAAGGAACCTGCAGCAAGAATGTCCCCTGCATGCGGACGTCATAGTTTTGTTGATCCGGGTTAGGTACAGCAGCTTTAGACGCTTAGTTATGCACCTCGAACCAGTGAGCGTCTGTGTTGCTTTGCTTCCGGCTTCATGTGACTGTGGCGCTCTCGCCGCCGAGAGGACCCAAGCGACCATGGCTAGGGGCGGTGGTGCCTGACTGCCTGTATGTAAGTGAGGGGTGGAAGACGGCCAGGAATCAGCGGTTCCTTTTCGAGGTGCCGTGTCGCTTGGCATACGCGCAAGTGGTTGGCACGACACGAGGCGGCCAGGAGGGATGATCTGCTGGCACGTCAGGGGAGGGCCGCACGAACACGAGGACTTTGGGGCCTTGGAGGTTCTGCAAGCGTTTCGAGTTTCGACTTGGGATCCGTTTGGATTCAAACACTGTAGCTATGAGTCTAATTGACGGCTCAAAATAAACTAGTACCTAATGAAAGGCTATTATCGATCCCAAGCAATACTAATATTACGTAGATCCAAACGGCACTCAACTAATAAATTAGTTAATAGAGACGCTAATATATAAAAATGTTATTAGCAACCAAGTACACCCTTCTTCTTTTTATTATGTGGCGTATTAGCCTTGTCTAAGTTAAACATTTGTATCTTTGACCATTGATTTTCAAAAAAAAATTATATAGACTCATCTCATAAGATTTATGTTTTTAGATTCATTATGAGAAGTACTTTCATAATATATAATTCATATGTTGTGAAACTACAAAGATTTTTTTTTTAAAATGGTTGGTTAAAGATAGCAATATTTAACTTAGAACAAAGCTAATGTGACATGTAAAAAAGACAGAGGGAGTATTACCAGTAAACACGTTTATACATCGATTACAATGTTTTGGAAACTTTCTAGATTTTTTTAAAAATATTTTTTAGTTGTCTTATAGCTAAATCTATTGTTAAGCATTTAGAGATATTTTTATGAGATCTAAATATTTTATTTAGATTTGGTGTATCCCAATCTATCTTCAGTTTTTTTGGAAATTTAAAAGATTATATATATTTACTGTAGTTTAAAAACCTTATTAAGTATTTACTAATTTTTTTAACTAAAAAGATAAAACCACCTGGAAAATCCCTCCAAATAGAGTACGAAGGTAACTTGATGGTTTTGGAAAAATTATAGGAGGTAAAATATCTGATTTTAGAATTTAAAAAGAAAAATCAGACTACACCGACAGGCGACAGTTCAGTATTATTCTCTCACAAGTCACAATCCAAGGACCGATCTTTGCTAGGCTCGAATTAAGTCTGACAAGGATTGTGATGCTTCTTCGTCCTCACCCGTAGCCCAACAACTGAAATGATACATGGCCTGTCTTGATTCTTGAATACAGTAGCTGTCCAGCAGCGCAACAAGTAAAAAAGCGCATGGCCCACCTTGGAATCCCACGTTACCTGCATGAGCCCGCAGCATAACAGTAGCGGAAGGCTGAAAGCCTTAAGCCACGAATTTGTTAATGCCTAGCCAATAGAAACGACGTGTCGGGACCAATACTAAGTACTCGAAAAGGAGAACCTAATGTTCATCAACATTGATTCAATCGAGCAGTAAAAAACGTACATATAACTCTATAAGAACCCAGGTGCGCGGGTTCGTGTTCTTGCATTTCTTGCGGGGACAGATGAAGTATTCATGGAACAACCATCTGGGTTTAAAGACTTTTTTATTCTAGATAATGTTTGCAACTTGCATAAGTCTATTTATGGCCTTGGGCACAAGTGTTTGGTATAACGAGCTTCGTGAAGGATTCAACATCTCACATTCCTCATTGTTTATACTTAACTCCACCCCGAGGCCGCGATCTCCACCTCGTCCAACTCTGAGGCCGCGGGCTCCGCCTAGCCAGACCCTTTGGGTGCGGGCTCCGTCTCGCCCGACGGAGACCCATACCATCGCCAACCATTCCAGCTCCAAGCGTATGGACTTGGATCAAAACTCTTACACCAAGGAAGAGACCGGCACGCCCCGATGTAACCCGCGGCCACGACGGGCTATACCTGAGGATTCACATCAAGAACGGCGTCGGGCGTACCGATGCTGTTCTGGCTAACCCTCGTGCAAACACTGACAGGCGCGTCAGTTCACCACGACGTCCGCCAAGACGGAGTGGAGCGCCATGACCGGCGGATGACGCCTGCGCATGGCGCCAGTGACGGAAAGGACCGCGACATAGGAGCCGTCCCTGTTGACATCTACAGGGTCGACGGAACCCGCATGAAGGAGAAGAAGGACCCGGCGATCCAGGAGACCTTCCTCTTTCTCGTTATTCTCATTTTCCTCCGCTATAACCCACACTTTCCCTTGGCCTATAAAAAGGAAAACAGGACGCCTAGAATTAAGTCTAAAAGGGATCCCAAACCGATCAACCCATCAAGATCTGATACAGATCCGTACAAGAGCACGACACGAATGCACAGTCGAGCAGCGATCGAGCTCTCAGCACCCACTCACTCCTTTCACAAGAGACTTGGGATCCTTTCCCTCTCTCGCTCGTTTATAACCCCTACTACAAACTTTCAGCGCTAGTAACACGAGCAGCAGCGACGAACTGGACGTAGAAACTTTTTGCCCGAACCAGTATAAACCTCGTGTCCTCTAAGCACACCATCCGAGTCAGACGCGCAATATTAGAAATTTACTCGTCGGTGGTAACTCGAAACACCGACACGATGAGATTTAAAATTTTCCAGATCAATTGCTATAATTTCTTTTTTTAACAAATCAATTAGTGGAAATTAAATTTTTTCGTATAATGTATCTTTAAAGAATCACAACCTTTTCATAGGAGTTTAGATGGAAATACAGTTTATATGCAAATTGAAAATCTCAACAATTGTGTAGCTCATGGATTTTTCATCGAAGCCATTTTGGTGCTGAAATAATCAATACAATGTTCATACCTACAAATACAAAGATAAACATTATATATATTATTCCTGCATGAAGATGGCTTTAAATAAAAACTAGAACTACTGGATTAACCATGGTATTATCATATTGTCTGCAAAGATTAACATGGATTGCCGTCATTTTCAATGACTAATAATTTGGCAATCCATCATACAATTTATGAATATAGGAGCTCTGCAGACATCTGTCGTTTCACAAGCAGCAAAAATAGAGGGCACTGGTGGTTAGATCGGCCTGTGATCCTGCTTATCAAACACTCATAAATGGTGTGAAACTCACATTAGTTGCTGTAAACCCAGAAGAAAAGCATTATAAATAGCACCAGGACTCATAGGCTACAAGAGTAGAAAATATTTTGAGAGGAAGTCTTACTTCTTAACATCACAATACAAAACAACTTTGTAACAAAACAAATTTGAGATTTCAAGTTAAGAACAAATGGCTCCCCTATTCAATGGGCTTATTTCCAGAAGAGGCATACACGAGAGAAATCAATTACCTTAATCTTAGGCAGCAAAGCTATTTAATGAATATGAGAGCTCCGCTTCTTACACAGAGATAAAAGATCAAATACAAGCCCATCACCAGCCCCAGTTAGTTTTTTTGTTACATATGTGAGACAAGAGAGAACAACCCCAACCATCTCGCAGGTCCATAGTGACACAAGGTCAGAAGCTATAAAAAATACAACAGTTGTGGTGCTTCCAAATTGTCTAGGCGACAAAAACAGAGAAGTGTTGGAAGCCTTTACACCTCGGCTTCTGGACCCGGTTGGCTGCAAGGCACCAGCAATCGTAGTAGAAGACATAATCCTGGGCTCCAGGTGCTACGTGAGGTAAGCCGATCTGTTGCAGCGCCATTGCCCAGACATGAAGAGAGAAGCTTAGGCAGCTAAGTCAAGATGCCAGTATAGAAGGAATATATTCTCTCTTTGTATAGTATGTGCAAAAAAAAATGAAAGAACAACAAATTAGTACTCTCATAGTAAGCCATCTCCCTTACAAATTGCCATTTGTTTTCATATTAGTATCTCATTCCTTTACAGGCCAAACTGACAACCATCTTGGTACATGGCAGAGGTCCATGACATCCAAAATATTGTTTAGAACTCAAGAATATTTTGTTGTTCTTGCAACACTAGCGTTACCAATGCAAATCGCTTCATAGAGAGTTTCTTCTTAGTAGTGTTTTCGGCCACTACCTGAAACTACCAGTTTAGTCTCATACAATGCAAACATATAAGTAAACACATTCAGCTAGTGAGAGCAACGTAAAATATCAGTTGTAATAAACATACTGATAAAAATGGTTAGATAAAAGGAAAAGTAATACTCTCATTCCAATTAGCTTAATAAGTTCTACAACAAAGACTTGTCCAGAGATGGAATACTAAGTTTAGAATAATCTTCAGCCATGTGCTAAGCAAAAGAAGAAACTAACAAGCATGTGCATTGAGGCAGTAGAATAAGTCAAACCCAGCTCCTTCATAAATAATTTATAACTTGAATATGAAATAAACACGAGAAATCAGAAAATCACTACAAATGTGTACTCTCTCTCTCTCTCTCTTTTGGCAATGTTTCATCAATAGACGCACTATGGATGTGCATAGTTTCATTTTTTTAAAACTTCTAATTATGTTTTCAATGGGATTTTCACGATTGCACCGAAGATGTAGTTTGCACTGAATATTTTGCTACAAAACATACCGATAAAAATGGTTAGATAAAAGGAAAAGTAATACTCTCATACTCCAATTAGCTTAATAAGTTATACAACAAATAATTATTCAGAGAAGGAAAACTAAGTTAAGGATAATCCTCGGCCATGTGGTAAGCAGAAGAAGAAACTAACAAGCATGCACACTATGGCTGTAGAATAAGGCACATATCGTTCATTAAAAAACTTATAGCTTGAATTTGAAATATACATGAGCAATCAGAAATCACTAGTGGTTCTCTTGCAGAAACAGAATCGAGAATGCCCTGCACAGTGGGCAGCTGCTAATGGGCATGAGTTGCAGTTCCATCATACGCCTAAAACACAAAATGATATGCTAAAATTAGACTGTAGAGGGCACAATACCAGCACGAGCTGTAGCCTAAGCATCTTTTTTTTCCACACCGGTAAAACCGAATTTCATTACCATGGCAACGAAATTACAGATAGTATCAGTTCAGAACCTGTAGCATAAGCATCTGCAAGGCCAGGTATAGAGTCCTTGTGATAATCGATGAACTTCAATTTGAAACTCTTGTCTCCTAATTTAGTGAATGTGCAAAAGCTCATATTGCTATTCAGCAATCCCTTTTCCTGGATGATCTTCATGACATAATGCCGGGGCATTAGTCGCTTCTCGAGGCTCATTGAGAGCAGTATATCCCACAATGTACCGTGGCTCCACCATAGCCTCATTGACTAGGAACTCAATCTTGCGCGGAAGAATCTCGTGAGAGATTCCTAATAAACCAGGCACCTTGGACACTGCAATTGAAACCTCAGACTCAGAACAACCAAGAGTCCTCTTAAAGAACTCAAGCTTGGCAGCAAGCTTCTCTTCGGACATATAGGAAACGATGAACACTGCGTGCCCGAACAGCCCCGAAGTAGGAGGCACCCCAAGTTGTTCCGCCCGAAGCAAAGACTCCCTCAAGCGTTCCAGGTTGAAGGTAAGCACCCGCGGGACGTTTGAACATAGCTGGACAATATCTCTAACACCCCACTGACGAAGCAACGCGATGTTAGGCTCGATTAGCCTCTTAAGACTAATGCTGAGGAGGCTCCCATTCCTCTTTGCGGCCACCAGGGCCTTCTCAAACGAGCCGTTGAAGGAGATGAAGAACTCGAGCCTAGAAACGACGTCGCCCTTGCGGAGAGAGCGTGAGACGACCAGGAGGAAGCGAACGATCTAGGGAGTAGACAGACCGACGCGGTGGCGGAGTGCGAGAAGGCGGGGGTCGATGGTACTCACGGAAGCGCGGAGGAGCAGCGGGTCCGCGGAGACGACGGCGGCGATGTCGTCGCGGGAGAGGCCGGCGCCGGAGAGCAGGGCGAGGATAGCATCAGGATTGGAGGCGGAGTTAAGGCGGGAGCAGGAGAGCTCATCCAGTGATCTCCTGGATCCAATGCATAATAACTCGCGGGACACCTTCTTGGACACCTCGCGGGCTTGGGCTGGAGCGAGGCCGCAGGCATCGACGAGGTAGTCCTCGAGGGAGAAGGGTGCGGGGACGGTGGCCGTGGAGGTGGAGAGGAGGCGGCACGCGCGGGAGTGATTGGGGGAGGGACGCGGGGAGGCAGCGCGGAGCAGAGGGAGGAGGCGATTTCGGAGGCGCAGCATGGCTGCGGCAAAGGGGAGGGGATTAGGCCGTCGGCCGCGAAAGCAAGTAATGGACTAGCCGCGTGAGGGGATGGGGATACCACCTCAGACTCAGACGCAGGAGGGTTCGACGTGTTCCGTGGGCCCGCAGGATGAGCCGATGAGGTGGCCACGAGCCACGGCCCAGAGGCGGGGAACCACGGGAGAGTCTGCTGCAGCCTTGACGCCGCAGCTTGGGGCCCCGCATGTAGCGCCCGCACGGCCGCTCTGCGCTCCCGCTAGCCCGGCGTGGTTGCTGGTCGTCTGCGTCGCCGCTCCTTGACTCGGGGGCGAGGGAGGCAGTCGAGACGTCACGCAGGAAGAGGGAGTGGCGAAGCCCTTGGAGCTGGGCTCCTGGAGAAGGCCGTGTCGTTGGTTTGGAATCTGAATGCTGGGCAGCGAAATGGGTACATGACTTGGGCAGTATGGACCGGGCCATCAAAATCTAAGCAGAGTTACTCAAAATCTAAAGGAAATATAGTTGGGCCTAGGCCTTGCTGGCCATGATGAGGATTTGCATATGGGCCAGTTCTCTACCATCACAAAACTGTCCCCTTTCTTCTACTAGCACACGCGTTTGGCGAGTGGCGACAGTGCGCTCTCCGATCAGCTTCAGCTTCTCTCTGAACCAACGGGCTTGCCGAGCGGCCGGCCTGCGCGTCCGACCCGATCCCGTGCCGTGCTGCGAGCATCACGGCGTGCCCCAAGCGCCTGTGCCGGCTGGTGCTGCTACAGATCGGGACTCGGGAATACAGTGCCGCCGAACGTCAGGACAGGCCGCCAGGCGCACCTCGAGGCCGTCGCGGCTCGCGCGCTTTCCACGCCCCATGGCGTCTGGTGGAAAAAGCATCAGCGAGCGCGATTGCGAGCGCGGCCACCGCAGCCTACCGTGCCGATCGGCTGCGCGTCGCTAGCCGGCCAACCGAGCCCTTCGCCCCTTCCAGCCAGTAGTAGTAGTAGCCCTAGCCCGCCCTGCCTTCGCCGCCTCTAATCTTCCGGAGAGCGCTGGCCGGAGTGGAGAACAGGGCCGTGTTTAGTTCACGTGAAATTTGAGAATTTGGTTATTGTAACAATTTCGTTTTTATTTGGCAATTAATGTTAATCATGGACTAATTAGGCTCAAAACGTTCATCTCGTGATTTTCCACCAAATTGTGTAATTAGTTTTTTTTCGTCTATATTTAATAATCAATGCACGTATCGCAAAATTCGATGTGATGACTACTATAGTACTTTTTAGAAAAACTTTTTAAAACTAAACAAAACCCAATATTTTTTTTCTCAATAAATCAGTCGTGCCATGATGGCCTGCCGCCTGCATGCCGGCCGGAGTACCTAACTACCTACACCACCCTAGGCTCCATTTGTCTCCATCAGTCCAAGTGATGATCGTTGATCTTACGTGTCGTTATTCGGCACGTTCGTTGGTCGGTTTGTGGATTGATAAGTTTAATAGGTGCTGGTTTGTTATGAGAAAAAAATATTATTGACTGACTGATAAGTTTTGACTGAAACCAACAAGCGAACAAGCTGATTGTTTATTCTGGAAGCTATGCAGCCCTGTAGAGACTTGTGCACACAAACACCCCTGTGGAAAACCAACAAACCGTTATCCTGAGGATCTCAGTCCAAACGAAGCTTTCCGCCGTCCATGTGTTGCTTGGATTTCCCCGTCCTTTGCGTGTAGAATTTCTAGCAGTACGCTTTCCCGCGGTTCGTCAAGCGCGCCAATGGTGTTTTTTGGAATGGAAGTTTGTGAGTAAAGCCTTGTTTAGTTGGACCCAAAGTTTAAAAAGTTGCCCGCGGAATGTTCGTCAATTACACAGTTTGGTGGAAAATTGCAATGGTAATTAATGTTTTTTGAATAATTTACCAAATAAAACGAAGTTTGAAATGAAAATCCAAATTCACCCCACCAAACGAGGGCTAAACCCTTGCTCGACGAAGCACTGGTCCCTGTCGTGCTGAACTACCACATCGCACCATCGCGGGCCCACTGAGCACACCACAGTGCCTCCGTGTACACACTGGATCAGCGATTGGGTCACTTGCTGAGTTGCTGGTCGGTCGCTGTATCGCAGACAGGTTTTCTTGAAGCATAGAAAATCAACGCACTACCGAAGAGCTCACCTATGGTCTAGTAGGAGTATGGATTTGGATTTGCCCTCCAGTTCAGTCTTCGCCGTGCCGAACGGGACCTGCGCTCGGAACAGGTGTCTGGCAGGCCCGGTTTCTCGTTGACAGGAGCGTGAAAAGGTCGTCGTCGGCGAGCAAAGGACCGAACTGTGAATGGAGAGCGACCTCCGTGAAAAGAGCAGGAGGGAGCGCGCAGTTCCTGTCAAAGTGTAAGGCAGCAGCACCCCTGCATCGCATCTTGCGAGCAGTCGGAAACTGACGAGATGGGCTGCTGTGCTAGCTACGGAGTACTCCTACGTGGGCGCATATGCATAACCGGACAAACAATTACAGTTCGATCCAGCGGCGAAGCTAGAGTTGAAACGAGGGGTGCAACACTTCATGCCTTTTTAGTTCCAAAAAGTTTTCTCAAAAAGTACTATCGTAATTATCACATCGAATTTTACGATACGTGCATGGAGCATTAAATGTAGACGAAAAAAACTAATTACACAGTTTGATGGGAAATTACGAGACGAACGTTTTGAGCCTAATTAGTCAATGATTGAACACTAATTGCCAAATAAAAACGAAAGTGCTACAGTAGCTAAATTCCCAAATTTCACGGAACTAAACAAGGCCTCAATAGTACCCAGCATGTTCGGCTGGGGTGAAACGATCGTAAATTTTCAGTCGGAACAGTATTTTTCCCTCACACAAACTAGTCAGCAGTACTTCTTCACGAACCAGCAACGAACCAGCCCAGCCAAACGAACAGGCTGACCATGGTTCTTCTAAACGGTCAATTAGCCTATTTAAACATTGCGTAAATGCTATATAATGATTCATTTAGCCCGTTTAATTGACCGCTCAACCCGAATACTTTTATCAATAAAGGGCGTGATTGGTTGCTCCGAGGTCAGCGGTCCGGGATGGTGGCTCTGTCTAGGCTCTTCCGAGCCGACATCAAAACATTCACCCACCTTTGTTTGGTTTGCTTTAGCTTAGCTGTCCTGGATGACAATGATTCTGTTTCGTTGCCCTATTGACCATTTTGCTGTATGAAGTGGTGGTAGCGTTTGTGTTTGGTTGGGCGCACGACCTGGGGTGTGAGCACCCGTGTACCGTTTTGGTGTGGTTACCACCAGGAATTACATAATGAAGAAGAATAGAAGGAAACATAGATAACTTTGTCTCAGTTCAATAAGCTTGGCATTGACAATGACCTTGGAGCTTCTAATGACATAAACATGACAACAATACTCCCAGGAAATCATGAACAAGGGCGTGACTGGTTGCCCAAAAGTCACAGTTCCTCACAAGATCATTGTCTCCACACGTTTTCATGGCATTTTGAAAACATCATAGGCAATATGAAATAATTAGATGCACCTAAAACAATGCTTAGCAATGAAAACTCAAGCATCATCAAAATAAACGATCGAACCAAAGCAATAGCCAGTAACCAAGGTATTTTAGGGATTCATTTATTGCCCGAAGCATTGCAAGGAGGCATTTTAGGGCATGGACCCCAGGCTCCTTTCCCCGATAGGCAACATACCAAGTTATGGTATTTTGAGCATCACAGACAGTTGTAGCAACGAGCAAGAATGAACCATAGGAGCACCAGCAACAGAAAAGACGGCACCATAGCCACAACAAATAACACCAGTTTCTTCCTGATCACCTTTGGTGGAGGATTGATAAAAACTTTATCATCTTCACAACCCATGAACTCTAAGTATGATGCTTCTGCCTCTTCTTTGTTAGGAAAGCTCTTGTAGCTGTTGTTTTTAAAACCAGTTACCTGGGCATTGCATCTAGCCCAGGTTGCATATACCCCAGAAACTCTGCCACGGTACACAACATACCAAACCATTTGCCCCTTAAAAAACACATAAAAGCAAGTATAAGATGTTGATAAGATGAGAGGTAGTTCAATCGATTTGCCTCAGATTTAATTGCCTTTTTATTTGACCTTGAACTTGGAGCTTAAGAAACATAGACAACAACAAACCTCAAACAGATAGTAGAAAACCAAGATCATGACAGGCATGAAATCATGAGAGGCATCCAGCCTAGCCATTAGATCATCAGAATTGTCCAGCTGTTGCTTGAGCATGGATGTCTCACATGGTTTGATGATAGCCATGAGAAGCATAAGCAGAAGATAGAAGAAACAATGCTCCAGTGCCTCACAAGTCTAAGGTCATCAATGTGCATAATCCATTACTCAAACTGGCATTGTTATCTTCATAGGCATGAAAAGGATATCACAAATGTATCAGCCTCAGTCAAAAAAATGGTTGACATTAGAAGCACAAAAAAAACATAGGCCTCATCTAATGTAAACTGCAATCATCTCAGGTGGCAAATAAGAATACAAATTGCTAAGGCAAGTTCATGACTCCCATGGAAGCGTGGGACACGTCCATCCTAGCCATCCGGTAGGCATGCCTACAACAGTTGTTTGGGAATGGACGTATCCCACGGTTTGATGAAAGACATGAGAAAACACAAGAAGACAATAAAGCAACAACATGAATAATACCCACAGCCACCTCAGATTGCTATATAGTTTGCATCATTGGCCAAATAGGAACTCCTACAAGAACAATAACATCATCTGAAATGTTTTAGATGAACTTACAATCCATGGTATTTTTGGGCTCAGATCAACTAAGTGACAATCCATCACCCTTTGTTAATGTCTTCACCACACAGATCAACAAAGCCTCACATCCATCACCATGGCTCCTATGCTATTCCAGACTAGGTGCAGCCTTGGTTCCAATTGTGAAGAATACAACAGGCAAGAACAAGCTTAACTTGGGTCTTGTATGGGTGGAAAGGTTTGTTGTCCAATAT